ACGAATAACAGATAAAATAGTAAATCAATTAGTGAGCAAATATCCGAAAATTGAAATTAATAAAATAGAAGTTGACTCACGAAGTGAAGATGATATTGCATCTCAAATTAGAGAAGATATATTTGACGAAGACTAGTTTATAGTAATAGAAGAGTAAGCTATAAAACTCATTTAGAAATGACAGTTAAAAGAAACGATATTTTTTATTAAATAATAAAACTCGTATTGAATAAATTTATATTATATAAAACAAAGTATAAACCAAGTATGACAGACAATAGTTCAAGTTTAATAAATGAGCAGGGCTCAGAGTTAACGATGCAGGAAGCTATTACATGGAAAATGATTGAATCAGCACAAATTAAAATAATAAAAGAGGCCTTTCGTCTTCGATATAGAAAAGATAGTAAGCTTATTAGTGAATATGCTGGCTATGTAAAAAATTTGCGTAATGCTGAAAATAAAGATGAGTATATAAAATATACTGCTATAACTCTTTTTCCAAATGAAGAAGCATATAACAAAAGAATAATTAGATATAGAAAATGGTATCAAGGTAAAAAGGAGCTACTTACTAGTGTAGAAGATTTATATAATCTTTATTATAAGCTATCCAAAAAAGATAGGCCTATGACTGAAACAGAAATTGAGGAAGCCGTTGAAGATGTACTTATAGACGAGTAGAGCGGAGCTCATTCTTCCAGAATAATTTAATATTGGTTAAAGATCCATTTAGGTGGATATTCAACCTCCTTAACTACCATCAATTGTTCTCTCACGAATGATCTCTCAGGACCATTCCCATTTTCATCTATAAGCCAGTATAACACCGGTTGATTTTTTTGTATTAATGATTCCTTAATACGATAAACTTTGGGAGACCAATTCATATCAGTTATGCGTCTCTTGCCAAATTCTAATTCTCCAGGTTCGAGTAAATATAAAACAGAATCTTTATAGCTTAATCGTGGTTCATTAAACCCAATAGGTCTTCGATGTTTAACAGAAGGATCAGCAATTATTTTTTCCCCTTTTATTGCCTTCTTTACAGCTTCATTAGGAGACATATGAATTAATCGGGTAGGAGTATCATTATAAATATCATCATTAATACGAAGACC